GTGCCTGGCTGCACCAGGAGCCCCACACGTGAGAAACTGAGCCTGCTCAGCGTTCCCAGCCGCCACCGCACCGGGACGGCAACTCCCTCCCGAGCTGCAGCACTCCGGTGCCGCTGGACTCGCCAGGCCAGGCCAGGCGTCCCGCCAGCTCTGCCACCTCTCTTGGTCACCAGGCAAACTTGGAGGTGCAGCATGCAGTGCCGACACTGTTTTCTAACCCGTGTGCCTTTCTGGTCAGCCCAGAGCACGAGCGACTGACTCGCGGCTCTGCCTCCTGGATGGCAGCAGGCACGGTGAGCCCCACCGAGACCTGCAGCTTGGGCTTGCCCCCTGCCCCAGGGCTGGCCTGCCCTCTCCCCTGCCCTACCTCTTGGTTCTCGACTAGAACAGCCATGGAGATGTGGCACAGGCATCCCAAGAAGGCAGCCGGAGGAGTTCTGCCCTTCTGAACCGAAACGCTGAGTGCCCAGCCACGCTAACGCATGATATGAATCCAAGCAGATTGCAGCAAGATCTTCCTTCTCCCTGGTAAGCCATTAACCTTTCAGATGACAGCCCTGCAGACTAAATGACTGAACGATTCCCAGGGTCAGCACGAATCTACATTTTCAAAACCTGACATCAACAAGTAAAAGTTGTGACTGAATCCCGGTCTCTCTGAGAGGAAGATTAAACGCCTGTGACACATCATCTGCAATCAGAGTGCTCCATTTCCCAAAGTATCCGTCACAGATTGATAACATCCACGCAAAAAGTTAAGTGCAATTATGTCTGTCACTGTAAAACACACTTCAGCAGCACTGACTGACATCTTGCTTGCAGCTGACAAATTGTGAGAGGGCTGTTTGAGTGACAGTGGTAGAGACTCCTGCAGCACCTCAGGAAGGGATACGAAAGGCGCTCCCGAACCACAGAAGCTGCACAGGCTCACAAAGCACCACGGCCGTGACGGGAGCCACTGTATAGGCAGCCACAAGGCAAAATGGTTCGAGATTGGCTCTGCGCGCATTCACAAAAGTCAGGGACTTGCTCCCAAAAGGCTGGAAGTGGACCCGAAGAGGAGAACGTCACACACAAATCCTGCTCTAGCCGACTCCAACAGAGCTTGAGGCACGGAGGGGCTGAGCCCCAAGACACTGCTCCAATGCTCGTGATGTGTACTTTTCTCCAAGGCCCCACCCCATGCAGTGGCAATCGCCTATCCGCAGGCTGGGTGAAGCACAAGTGTGCAAAGGGCCAGGCGAGTTACCTGTTACTAGCACCTCTTTTGCGGGAAGATTACCTTCTTGTTCCCCAAAGCGATGTCACCATGCAGCACCGGAGAGCGCAGGCCTTGAACACAGAGGAGAGATACTGAGGGAAGTTACATTAAACTCCCACTATTGACTCAAGTCAACAAAAATAGTTCTTTAGTAGCAGCCTTCTAGAATGGAAAACTGCAAGCGCATTTCTCCAGGCTGCCATTAGCGCCAAGAAGCTGTCGCAGAATTTGGAGAGAAAAGACAGTAAAGCAGCTTGATGCCTCACACAATGGCACGGTTGTGCTCCACAGCACAGCATGCCATCCTCACTGGGATGGCAAGGGCTGCCGTTAGAGACCATTAAGCCAGATGCCTGCAGTAGGAAACACCAAGGAGAAGAAATGGCTGAAAAGTAACATATGCAGTCCAGCACGAATATCAAACAAAGCCTCCCCTTGTGCAGTTCTGACTGCGAGCCATAACCCCGCGACACAAGCAGTGGAAGCAGTATTGCTGACGTGCAGCAAGCTGTGGAGGTCAAACCTCTGACACGTGACAAAACTCCGATGTGCCGCCATCCGCTGCCATCAGTAACTTACACTGTGGATCAGAGGAGGAAACATGGCTGGTGCAGAAATAAACATCTCCCACAGTAAAAAGTCCTTCCATTTAGGAAGGTTTTGCTGTGCAGAAGCTCACTGGTGTGTTTTACTGGTTTAGTTTATATCTGGTGTTAGCGGTTGTTCTGAAGCGCCCAAGCATACCCTCTTGGTTTAAAATTATTTTATAATGCTAGACAGCAACTGAAGGGAATAGCTTAAATATCTGGCCAGCCTAATGGCAGAATCTCTACAGCACTCTCTATTCAGCACTGTTCACAGTCTTCTCTTAGCGCTCACGGCAGCATCAGAACAACTCGCTGCTGTTCCTGTCAGGATATATCCACATGGAATAAAACAGCAAACTGGCTACCAGCGCAATCTCATCTCTCTATGGTGAAGTAAAAATAAGAGGTTACTTGTGACTACAATCTTCCACAAACATTAAGTGTTGAGTAACTTACCACATTGCTGATAAAGTATTAGAAAAGGCTTTCAAGTAGTATGTGTTCCCCGTAATAATGAAATATTTGCAGGATGCACCTTTATATACATTTCTATTTCTTAAAAAATATATTGGATAATAAATAATCAGAGTAAAAAAACAGACATGAAAGATGTTTTGAATGATCAGGCTGGTGGTGTAAAAGTTACCTGTAAATCACAGACAGGGCACGAGAGTGGAGCTGGCTACAGACAGGTGGTTTTTACTAGGAGGCATTAATGTAACATTCAATTATTCCACTGCACACTGGCTGTTTTAACTCAGCCAAATTAGAATACATTTTATATTGACTATTTTGACATTTGCTTTATTTGGCAAGTAAAACAAAACTGATCCAATTTCCTTGCAGCCATTGTAAACCATAAACTGTACAACAAGAGGTTATAAAATATATAAGCCTTGTAAACACTTCTTTTCAGACTGTCGCTGATGCTCTGAGCTCTAATTTTGGCCCTGTTCCCAATAGCTCTGACGCTGCTCTGCAGCCTTCCCTGCTCGGCCATAAAGTGACCCTTCCGCACTTAGTGATTAAGGACCACCATTGACATTCTCTTGCTATGATAATTTTTTCTCTTTATTGTGGAAACCTGCCCAGGCAGGAATTTCTTGCAGACAGAAAATGAAGATCTGTGCTCTAAAAAAAAATCAAGACATCTTTTTCTCTGATCTCTCACGGCCTGTGCTAGCATGTAGCTTATGTCCAGCGGAGTTCAAAACAACATATCAGCTCCCGGTAGGACAGGCTGAAATCTCCAGAAGACTGCTGGCTTTTCATCTCTTTTGCCTCCATCTCTGTTTGCGAAGCAAGACAGCACCTCTGCCTGCAGCGCACCTGACAGTACAGGACAGCAAGCAGCGTGCCATGGCATGGCAGGTGACTGAGCAAAACTCTCAGCGAAAGGAATGCCCAAATGCTTTGGAGAGTTCAAAAAGCCACTGCAAGACAGCAGATTTAAGTCTGGGTCACAGGTGAAGGCTCAAATGTACACACCTGCCTTAAAAAGATACCCGATAGCTTTTTCAGGAACAGTATACAGCGGTTTAAAAGCGTCACTCTCTGAAATGACCTGTAAATCAAGACTCCGAAGGACACGAGTATTTTCCACCCATACGACACAATGACCCTTGTACACAAACCGATCCCCCTGGAATTGCCCTCTGCTGCCTCCTTCGAAATTCTAGCTCTCAACAGTTATTGTAATACTGTAAACGTATCTGCAGTATGCCAAATGCCTAGTGCAAGAATACGTGCTTGCTTAATTAAGCAAAAGCCCAAAGGGACCCACAGAGAACGCGCCATCCCCCGGGAACAGCGCGGCCCAGAGTTCAGTCCACGAGCCTCATCAGTAGGAGCGTGCCTCACACTGGACGCTGGGCTGTCAGAGCAAATGCCAGGCGTGTAACGCGCAGAGTTTAACCTCCATCTGGGTTGGTCTGTCGCTTAACAACACTCTGTTTTGTCCAGAGAAACCCAGCAAGTAAGCTGCCAATACAGGACTACCATTATATGCAAGTATACCCACAAGTGCGTACATTTATACGCACACACAAATATTGTCTGTAACACAGGGAAAACAACCGGGACAGACACTGTGCCAGCGTCTGCCCAGAAGTGCTGCTCCTGTCGGTCGCTGCAGGATGAGCAGTCTGCTCTGCACGCTCAATGTCAGCGGCAAGACTGGAGCACGGTGGTCGGGTCCAAGAAAAGAAAAAACAGGGCCAGTAGTTCAAACCACGAGCAGACTGATTCTGGAGAATGAGCAAAACTTGTCTCCCTATGCATTAAAATCTGTATGAACGCTTCTCCCTCCCTTTGGCCCTGTTCAGGGAGAGAAATGGCTTGGCTACAGCTCTGGCCCACCCTCCAAGGGTGACCCACGCATACTTGTTGGAAACTATAACACTGCACGCAGTTGAAAACAAAGAAAAGGTATAGTTTGCCATTTCCCTTCCTCTGCAGGCTTTTTCTTTCTTCTGACTCCTTCACCCATATGTCTTTATACAACGACAGCCAAAGGAACTTCCAGTAGGCAAATACTTGAAAGAACACCACATTCCCTCGTTATCAGATGACGCCACACAATCATTCATACTGATGTGGCACCCTGGTTTTGATTCCGCCAGGCAAGGTTAGTAACAATACACCCTGCAGCATCAAGCAGAAGGGGCTGGAAAGCGGAAAGCTTACCGTGGCAGGTTAGGAGCTGGTGTCGAAGACGGTACTTGGGAAGGAGGAGTCGCAGGCTGTGACGACTCGTGGTTGCGTGGAACTCTGCCCATCCGGTACCAAATGCCCATGTTGTTCAACTCCCTGTGTAATCGACACAGAAGACATTAACGCTACCAGCAAACAGTGCACACGTGCACAAGCATCAAGCAGTGACGTGTTTCACAGACACCTTGGTTAGTGAGAACCAGTCTAATTGGGGGGAAAAAAGAAAGGGGGTTAGTTAATTCCTACATCAAGCTCAGTAACACTCGTACTTATGTAGACTCTTCTAATGACAAGCTTCAGCTCTTACAAACTACTACTTACTAATTATAGGAAAACAGGATGCTTAGCCTTGGTGCAATCGAATTTATGACAACAGCTTCTGGAGTGAGGGGTACTTACCCAATGAATGTATACTGAGGAGGGGCTTGTTTAGATCTACCCAGGATTCGGATATCACAGATCGCTGCCTCTGTAGAATCTCGAGGGATGAATTTAATGCACAGCCTCTTCTTTCTGAAAGCTATTTCTTCTGCAAAAACAACCCAGGACACAGGGTGGTTTTTATGCAAGATTAGGGTATAAATGTTATTTATTGTCTCTCCAGAGATTAGGCAGATAATTATGGCAGGAACTGGAGCCAAAGAACAGATATATGTCAGCAAACCAGACAGTGCAGTGCCATTCAGTGACTGGAGAAATTTTCTATCAGGAGCTCTCTGTACACTGTGTGAGATTTGTTATTAGGCACCGCAATAAACAAGTACTCCCTACTACCCTCTGCAGAGAAGATAAGACATCACGTACGCCACAGAGTACTGCACCACGGAACAGAAATGGCAGGTGATTTTTCCACTTCCACATACTTCTCACATTCGCTTTCTCTTTCCAATGTGATGTTTGCCTTACCGGCCTGGACAGTCGTATGTAAATATTCCTCCCACAAGCATTGCCTCTAGGAACATACCTGGAAGCTGCTGACACAACCGGTCAGTTTATTCTGCCAAGAGCTTCCCAAGAGCCAACCAAACCGAGAGGAGGAGCAGGCAGGAAAACAGACTGCCATGCAGAGTGGCAAACAGTAAAAGCTCTCTGCCCAAATCTCACGCATCCTAAGTGCTAGTGACCTCCCCTGACTCAGTCAGCAAGCCCTGAAATGATACTCCCATCGTGTTTGGCCTGGTATCTTTGTAGGGATAAACCAGATTTACAAAGCAGTAATTGCTAGGACCTCCTACGGGGCAACCGTGCTGCGCTGACCCGTGTTCAGAGGGTGGATGAATGTGCTGCACAGCCCTTTCCTGCTATGCATCGCAGAACAGTTTCACTTGTTTCCACGTTATCCATCAAGAAAAACTCAGGGCCATCCGAGTTAAGGCTTATCTGTGTAATGAGTTCACGCGTGCACGCTGCCTGCACGCAGACACAATCCACACCCAGCCGTGGGTCAGTCGCATGACAGGTGGTACTGGCACACGGCTCCAGATATGCGGTGCTTGGAAACCATTGCTGTCTCACCCTAAAGAGCCCGCGAGTCTCGATGCGAGCAAGGTGAGGTTTCTATTTGTGAATGCAAGCACTTGAAAGACATGACAGAAGTCTATTGATAAGCTGAAAATCTAAAGTGCAGACATCGAAAGAAAATCTGGAAACAACCAACAACTACAAACAAGTGCCTGCAAAATAAAAACCCTTCCGTTTAATATGAATAAATATCCTCCAGCTTAAAAATATGTTCTCCCTTCAACAGATGGCAAGCAGCCCTGTCTCTACAGGCTCCTCCTGTTTCGTAATCTGCACCTTGGAGAAAGCAATCCATCCCAGCCCCTGAAATCTGCTGTCGCACCAGCACCAATAAATGTACAGACAGTGCGAGGTGTGTCACAGTACAGCATCTGTGCGTGCAGCGCTGCAGTTACAGTGCTGTCTTTTAGAGATGTTAAATCCCTGTATCCCTGAAGCCTAGTCTACTCCTGCTTTGGGAAACTAGGGCTTTTATTTGAAGTGCCTAAAACCCATTTTAGGAGCCCAGGGCTTAAAGCTTCCACATCTGATAATTTTCTCAGAACCTAGTAAGGAGTACTATATTCATATATTTACTACAAGTCAACTGTCACTTAGAGAAGAGCACAGAAACATGTATAATCACAAATTTAACTCTGAACAAAATCAGCGCCTCCTATTTGACTTTCACAGTAAGTACAAAGCCGACTATTTGCTTTTGTCTTTGGTCTCTTTCACACTTGGCTAGAGTCTGCAGTCTGTAGCAAACTTGGTTTAGGAGCTGGATACATTAATTACACATGCTTAACCAGAGTTAATTTTAAGTAAACTTATTATAAACAGTCAATCAAAATGTGTTCATTCATGCTAATGGAGGCAGGGATATGCACCACTTCATTAATACAGACAGTGCCTCTGCTTTAAAGATTATATGGGTCACAATCCAATGCATTTTAAATTAATTACAAAGTCCCTTTCCACCGGGACTTTCACAAAAATTACAGCAGCACACCGTAAGCGTCCAGCACTCCCAAGGGCGAGCAGGATAAGCCGATGACTCTCCCCCGCACCACATGTGCCCAGGAACTCTCCAGGGAAAGGGGGCGACCCAGGGGAATGGGAAATGGGCTGCAGAGCCTTTCACTTCTAGGTCCCAGGTTCAAATCAGAACCAGGTCAGTAGTGACTGAAAAACCATCCTCATCTGCTGCAGACCCGCATGAATTATTCCCTGCAAAGCAGGCTCATATAACTCCTTTCTACTCATAACCAGGCTGGATTTCATTACTGACGAGCGCTGGTACCAGCCCCGCTCTCAAGCAGTAGCTGCACACTCGGCACCAGCGCAAGGTGTCCTGCAGCCCTTCCACACTCAGCTCCCACGGGGCTCGTCCCCAGCCTCCCCTGTGCCGCGAGCCCAAAGCACTTGATGCCTGCTGCAGAGCGGAGTGCTGCGACCAGACACGGCTCCAGCTGCCGCCGCCATGAGTCTCGGGGGATCCGAATACACTGTTTGGGAACTGCTGGCTTAAATGTTGTAGCAAAGCCATTTCTGCCTTGCAGAAACGAGGATGGTATTTTCCCTGGACATTCCACTTGTCCTTCTCTCAGCAAGCACAAACACACCCCACCATCCTCAGCTCTACCTGCGAGGACACGAGCCTTCGTTTGTTCACGGAGGGAGGTGTAAAGCCAGTGTGCGTAAACCCAGAACCATGAGCACACGCCCTTCCTTTCGATATCCATTGGTGAACATCCCTCAGCACAGCAGCTCTGCTCCCCTGCTTGCAAAATGAAAGGCTGAACTATTCATTCCTTCCTGCCCCCGAGCTGTGCTGCTCTAGCAGGCAGGCTGGCGACAGTCAGGCAGCAGTATTAAAAAGCCTGAAGAGTACAGGAAAACCGAAGGCTGTTTCATTGCAGTCCAGAGCTGCCCCCAAACATGCACACCTAACCGCAGAGAGCAGCAGTGCTGAGAGCATCCTTCTGCCTGGGACACAGCCCTCCACCGCCCGACCGCACGGGCACCAGTGGAGCGGCTGCTCCCAAGGCACGGGACTGAAGAACACACGCCAACTTACGTGTATCGATGGTCTCCTGGATGGGGATGAAGCCCACGGGTAAAGTGTCCTTGATATCAATGAGCTTCATATCAACCAAGACGTTGCCTAAATGACTCTTTGGAGAGAGAAAAGAAACAGTTGACTATGACAATGTCATCAAATTCAAACCCAGCTTTTCTCACCTGCTGAACCCC